GTTTGGGTCATCCACCAACGCGATAATGCGTGACAGGCACTGCTGCACATCCACGGTCACGTCCTTCACGGTGGGGCGGGCAAGCGTGTCCAAGAACCCAGCAGCGAGCGATCGGCTGGAAACGTTGCCCCTGTTGCCGGCGCGATTGCCGTTCCTCAGCCCTCAGGGCGTCCAACAGACCCTGTGTTGGCATCTCGCCACGCTCGTCGCGCAGCTTTTCTTCCAGTGCCTCCAACTCTTCCTGGTCCTCTTCGATTTCGCCCAGCAGGCCTGACCTTACAACATCAATCAGGCCCCACATGCCGCCGAAGCTGAGCTCAACTTGCATGAACCGCATCCAGGGCAGGGTGGGCCGCTTGCTTGACTTGGCCAGCAGACGACGCACGCGCCCACGGAAACGGTCGAGGCGCGCTGTCTCTGCGTTTGCCTTCCACGCAGCGCGCGTTTGCCCTGGCCCGCTGCTGGACAAACCGTATGTGTTTGGCTGAGAGAAGAAGCGCTGCTCTGTGATAATGCATGCGGGGATGTCCGCATCCGCCTCAAGCACGGCCAGTTCTAGTGTTTGATCGAGCACATGCACGGCAAGCATGCGGTGGCCTTGAACAACAGCACGCGACATGTCTGCCTCCACCACGTTGCGCCGCTGCCGCAGGGCGTCGAGCATGGCGGTGAGCAGGCGCGAACAGGGCCCGGCGAGCGCCTGCATGGACGGGTCGTTGAGGACGTGGCGCGAGAGGGCGCGGCACACGTTGAGTGCGGTGGGCAGCAGCGACTCAAACAGGTACTTGTCCAGCTTGGTGATGCTGCAATGCACGGAGGCGAGCGATTGAAGCTCAGTTGCCAGCGGTATGCACAGCATCTCCCACGTGTCGACGTTGTCGTTCCCGCCATCACCACTGCCATGGGCACCTTCCGCGCCCGCCCCATCGCTGGGCTCCAGCTCGGCCTCCAGAGACTCCTCAGTCAGGTACACGTCACGCATCAGGGTGAGCAGGCGGGCCTTGAGCGTGACGGGCAGCGCCGCCCCATTCACAAACGGCTGTACCAGCACTGGCAGGGGCACAAGCTTGGACACGAGCGTGCCAATCTTCGAGTTGGCGCGGGCGAGGGTGGCCAGCAGCGACAACAGCTGCTCAAAGTACGCGCACAGCCGCTCTTCCTTGCGAGAGAGCACAGAGCCAATGGTGTTGAGCGTTGGGATCGAGCCGTGCAGGTCCTGGCCAGCCTTGGTGTACGTGGCGACCAAATACGCAACAAAGTGCACCCCGGCAGTATGTGCCGGGTAGAGGTATGCCTTGTCCTCCTCGGCGCCCAGCAGCTTCTCGCCAATGGCCTCCTGCATGTCGCGCGACGGCGTGCCCGCGGGCGCAACCAGCGTCTCCAGCAGCTGCACAAAGGCCACGGTGCGGCAGCGGGGCTCCTGCATGAAGCAGGTGAGCAGCGGGTCGACGTTGCCCTCGCCAACGACGTGCTCCTCAATCAGCTCGGGCTGCCCATCGAAGATGCGGTGCAGCACGCGCTCGGCGTGGATGCCGTATGTGCACGCCTCGACGAAGAAGGCGATGTTGCGCGGGTGGCTCAGCAGCTCCTGGTTGTTTCTGTTGTCCCAGCAGAAGAAGGCAAGGAACTCAAAGCACGAGCCAAAGAACTCCTGCACGCGCTCGCTCTCCAGGGCCTTCTTGAAGGTGGCACCCGACAGCCGCTGCTGCACCAGGTTCAGCACGGCCTTGTATGCGCTGGCGTTACGCATCATCTCCTGCCGCCCATGCTGTGGCTCCACCACCACATCTGGCTGGTTCCAGGGCAGCGCTCCACGCCGGCCACCACCGCGTGTTGCTCCTGGTGCTGCTGCTCGTGCTGTTGTTGTTGTTGTTGTTGCTCCTGGTGCTGCTGCTGCTGCTGCTGCTGCTGTTGTTGTTGCTGCTGTTGCTGCTGTTATTGCTGCGGGGTTGTTGAGGAAGTCTGAGGCTGGCTTGTCGTTGACGGTGACGCACTCTGCGCACATCCACTGGATGTCATTGGTCAGGTTTCTGGCGACAGTGGGCAGGTCGTCGTTGTCCTGCTGCTTGAGGATGAGCATGAGCTCCTCCAAATGCTCCAGCGTGGCCTCGTCTCTGCTGTCGGAGATGACCACCACATTTGAGAGGCGCGCCAGCAGGCACCCCTTGATGTTGAAGTTGCGGAGGAGGAGGTTGAGCGCCGCAACGCGCAGGCCGTCGCTCGGGTACACGGTCAGGGCCAACAGCAGGTGTGTAGCCTGCTTGCGGGTGAAGCCCTGGTACTCGAGAAAGTGGTGGTTGTCGCCCGTCTGCTTGATGATGTCAATGTCAAGCAGGGAGCGAGTGCTCTGCTGCTGTTGCAGGTCTGCTCCACCTTCATCTCCCTGCTGCTGCTGCTGCTGCTGCTCTTGCTGTTGCTGGCGACGCTTGCGCCCCTTGCGCTTGTTCTGCTCGCACTCCTTCTTGTAGGCGTGCAGGAGTTGGGTGACAATGTCGTCCAGGTGCACGTCAACGCACGCATCGAGAATGCGGCAGAGCACCGTCTTTGCGCGCACGACGACGTCAAGGGCCGCGGTGGGCGTGAGGTCGTCCGTGTCACTCGGGTGCGAGCGCATCAGCAGCACCACCAGCCTGCGCGTCAGCTGCTGCCTTGCCTCGACGTCGTTGTACAGCCCCCTGTTCACCATGGCCAGGCACAGTCGCAGCACCTGTTCCGTGAGCACGTTGGCTTGCACCTCTGCCTGCTTGAGCTCGGCAATCTCAGGGCGCTTGCTGTCTGCACCGGAGTAGTAGCCTGTCGTGTACGAGAGCAGACCCTTCTGCGAGAGGTAGGCCTCCACCCAGTTGACCACCTCGTCCACGCGTAAGAGGCGATCTGCAACGGCCCTGAGCTTGGCGTGCGACTTGTGGTTGGCCAGGTCGTTCCAGCGCCGGTTGGAGTGGTCCACCTCGGGCAGGTCGTCGCCGTCAATGTACAGGTTGACGAGGAGCGTGCAGAAGCGCGCCTTGATGTGTGCTGGCAGGTTGGACTGCAGCACACCCATGATCATGGGGTAGGGCGCCCGCCGCGCGTCACGCAGCTCGTCCTGGCAGTTGCCCTCCAGGCACAGCTGGGCGTAGAGCTGGAGCATGGAGTCAAAGTACTCGAGGTGGTCCTGGTCCTTGAGGTACTCCTGCAGCGGCATGGTGACGACGCGCCACTGGTGGAAGGGCTTGCCTCGCGTGGGCACGCGCGTGGAGATGGTCATGTTTCCATCGCTGTCGATGGTGGTGACGGGCAGGATGTCCGCTGCGGGCGCGTCTGGGGCAAGGGTGAGCTCACGGATGATGTTCTGGATGGAGGGGATGGCCGAGCCGTCGACGGAGCAGAGGGAGGCGAGGAGGCCGAGGTACTGCTCGAGGTCGCTCATGGTGTGTGCTTCGTGGATGAGGGAGATGTAGAGGTTGACGGACCGCTTCGTGACGCGGTTGAGCAGGATGTGGTTGTTGCGCACAATGTTGTCCAGGGTGTCAGCAATGTGCCAGTGGATGTTGTCGATGCAGCTGATGAGCCGGCACTGGTTGACCATGTCGGTGAGGTAGGCGTCTGCCATGACCAGGCCCACGTGCACGTTGCCGTGGCACAGGTAGCTGATGAGGCGGTAGATGTCGCGGCACAGCTTGTTGAAGCGGCGGCACTTTGGCTGCGCCAGGCGCGTGCGCCAGCCCTTGCCCCAGTCCGCGCAGTGTGCGCCCTGGAAACGGCACGCTGACCACGGTCATGAGGGGCGTGTGCACCTGCAGGTCAAAGAGGATGTTTTGGTGCAGGGTGTTGGTACGGCCCACCTCGTCCTGCCCGTCCTCAATCTTGTCCTCGGAGCAGAACTGGATGAGCGCCTGGATGCTGTTTCGCGCGCGCTTGAAGAGCTCGCGTGCCGTGGGCTGCATACGTCCGAGAGCACCCGCTCCTCTGCCAGCTGGG